AAGGAAAATACCTAACAGCATAAAAAATGTCCACTTAAGGTTAAAACAGAAATTAACTGGAAAGGAAAACTCTCATTTTCTCTTTGCAATGTCCTTTTGTTCCTCCACCCCCTTTCTGCACACCCAGCAGTCTCATGCTCTGTTTCCTATCCTTAGTGTTAATAATTTCCCAGCACTGATAGTTTCTACTTGTAGAAATTTTTGTAGAGATTTTGTAGAAAGTCACCTCTCTGAATTCCTGATGTATGGTGCTTTATCCTTTAAATGTTGAACTGTAGTGGCAGACACTTTTTAGATTAATTCCAGATATGTATTTTTACAGGGCTAAGTCCATATTTCTTATAAATTTTAATAAATACTTTAAAATACCATAAAGAACAGATATTGTATCCATTAGAAAATTTTATTGGTCCAAGAAATTTAAGCGAGTGTTTACATTTGGCTGGTATTTTAGAAATAGAATCCTACAGATTTTTCTAGAAAACAGAAAATTGAAGTATATGGGATAAATATCATTCCTTATTAACAGTTGTTTCAAACAAGAAAGAACAAAAATAAAGCTTAATTTCTTTGAGAGGTGCTTTTCCTTTTTAATAGCAAGGAAAACACATTGACCACAAATTGTTAGTTTAAAATATTGATTGTATAAGATAGAGGCTACAGTTTGATTTTCCTTTTACTGTGGAATTTTATATCATTACCAGTGTCTGAGGATTTTCAAGTCACTCTTTAAGTGACAGAACTGATACCTGTCACACTTTTCATGTCTTTTCTTATGGAAATTTATTTATGCACTTCATACTTTGCATTGGTGTAGTCTTGCTTAGATATTTCCCCTGCCTGAAATATACATGCCAAAAAAAGAAATAAACCATATACCCTGTACTGAAAGTAGACCATGAGTGTAAGATGAATTTTTGGATCCTGAATTGTCAATCAGAAAAGTAGTTTGAGTGATGACTCAAGTCTGAATACTTCCTAGCTTTGCATCTACTTTTCACCAGAGCATTTATCTTTGCCAGAGAAGCTCTTTCATCAAAACATGGAAAGCATATTGGATAAAGAAGACATAAAAATACAATATAATGCCTGGTTGCATAGGTTGAGACATAATATTGCACTGCCACATTGAAACTGATTTGAAAGGACCTAAAAACTCCAGTGCTTTCTCTACAATAATGCAAACCAAACCTGTGACTATGAGGCCTGAGTGAGTTTGAGGCCTATTTAATAATAAAAAATCCTCAATTACCTCAGATTAAAAAAAAAATGGTTCTTGTTAATAGTGTAAGGCAATGGTTTTCAACAATCCCAGAAAAATCAGTCTTGTCCTCTTGTCTTTCCTTTCTTCCCAGTGTCTGTTTCATTAGGGTATGCACTGAGTAGCAGGCTTGGTTGTAGATTCAACTTATATAGTTCAGTTTTTCAGTTGATTATAATTCACATTCATGTATTTTGTTCAATCCAGATTACTGAAAACCTCCATGGGTGCTAAATAGCTATAGTTGGTACTATCAGGAATGCCAGGGAATTTCAACCCTTTGAGGATATCCATAGGTGAATCTGGTTTCATCCCAATGCCCTGTGCTCCTGTAGGGTCAGGGCAATGTCATCAGGCCCATCACTCGTGTGGCCTCCCCAGTGCCCCTGCCCCAGGGAACAGTGCTGCCCCAGGGAGTGAGTGCTGGCATGGGATGATCCAGGGGGCTGGAGCTCCAGGGCTGGGGATTGAGGGGCTGGGAGTACCAGCTGTGCCACCCTTTCTCCATCCTGTCTTCATTCTTTCTTCTCCCCTCCTACATCATTATCCTTCTCCCAGGTGCGGGAGGGTTTCAGGATCTTGGGACAAGAGTTAGGGTCTGGTTTTCCAAACAGGCTGAGAGGAGCCCTGGCTTGCTCTAGACCAGTAGAAGTTTTAAGAGCAGATTTGCAGAGAAAACTCAATTGTTACACTTGTCTCTCCTTCTGCAATGTCTCTTAATCTTCTTCATAAAGTTTTAAATTAAACAAGCCATGTTAAAAAAATAATCCCAAGTGAAAGTGGAATCTGCTCCAGTTTAGCAGACTAGAAATATTCAGCAAACTGGGTAAGTTATGCCAAATTCTCTTCAGGACAGGGGGATTTAGGCTTGAGTGTTTAAGCAAACAAGGGTAACTGTAAGTACAAGCTCTTTTTTTTTTATTTTTTTTATGGAGGTTTAGGTTGGAACCTTAGGATAAGAGTTCAAGACATGTTTGTACAATGCTCTAGGTATATGGGGAGATTATCAGGGCTGTCTTGTGCAGGGCCAGGAGTTGGACTTGATGATCCTTGTGGGTCCCTTCCAACTCAGCATATTTGATCATTCTGTGATTCTCTATATATTGTATAGAGCTAATAAATGATGATGAAGCTTCTGCCACTTCACTGACTATTTTGGAAATGGTCTTAAAAGTTTAGAAGAATGACAAGCTTTTGACGTAGTCAAAAGTAAAGTATTACTGTTTGACTTTTTAAAGTATTAATCAAATGGAAAGTATTACTTGCATGGACTTTGCATATTCTGTGCCAAGTCTCCTGACTTTCCCTGCTTGATTTCTCAACCAAGTAGTCAGTAGAACATGCCTGCCCTTGAATTAAGTTTACATAAAAATCAGAATGATTGAAAAACCTCCAGTTTGAAGTATAATAGCTGTTGAAAAAATATTTGGGTTTTATTCTTGAGTACCACTTTTCTTGACTCAGGACAATTCTAAAGGCGTGAGTCAAATAGTCCTGGTTTTGTTCCAGTGGAGTTTCCCAAAGTGCTTGACTAGAGCAGAGTTGACTATTCATTGAACTGGTGAGTGGTGCTTGTTTTTTTGGAGTGCTACTGTTTTAACACTATATGTTAATGGACAAAGTATATTCATTGCTGCTGGGTTTGTTCCAAGTTGGAAATTTGTGCCCTTGCCATTCAGATGACATTCCCTTGTAACCAAAGTAGTTGAGTTACAAAATTGCTTTGGAGAAAATGATGGCAATATCCACTTTAACCTGTGGGTTTCTTTTTAAGTTACACATGCAAATTTCATTAAAGTACTACCTGGCTAAATCTATAAAGCAATCCAACTTGCCCTAATATCTAATATACATTATAATTACTTTTTATGTTTTTCCCTTCAGGTGTAATCATAATCAATTTACTGAAAATGGGTTTTGCTGGAATTTGCATTGGGAAATTGCTTTGCCCACAGACATCCAAGTTGCCATAACATTGTTTCAAAGATGTATTTATTATTTAATTCTTGTAGAACAACTGTAGTTTGCAATTGCAGTACATCACAAGTAGATGACTATAAGAAAGCCTGAGGTTCACCAGTAGGTTCCAGAAGTGAAGATTTTTAAAAATTTGTTACAACCCTTGATGGAAAAGAATGAGATTTCTCCTTCCTGTGACCAGTATATCATTAGTTCTGAAAATCTGACAGGCGTGTTATGTGATTTAATCTGCCCTAGTTTGTAACCTGCATTTTGTTCACCTCTTTCCTTATGCAGTAGAACACAAAGTGTCCTTGTGAACTGATGAAGGAACACTGTTATGCTCTGGTGACCCATGCAGCACATATTGTTGGATGTAGAATTTGCATGCTGATCCAAAAAGGATAAAGGTCAAAATATGTGATTTTTCTGTTTATTACTTGCATCTGTCACTGAGCATCTTTTTTGGTTTTTTCATTTAAGATGGAACGTGAGTGGTTTTAATAGCATATCTTGCTTATACAAGGTTTGGTTTATAATTTCATGCTCAAGTAGCAGTTTCTGGTAGTATTGTGAAAGTCTGGATTCTCCAGTCTCTCTCCTCTGCTCTCTAGAGGAATCTTGTACAATGCTATAAGTTTGTCTCTTAAATGGCAGAGGTGTACCGCAGAGTTTTTAGCTGTTAAAGTACATTTTTTCCCCTTCTCTCTCTTTTTTGCAATGTCCCCCTATATCCCAGATTATCTAGGACAATATCCTACTTCTCTACCTGTTTGTCTCATGTTAACATGCTTCAGAGCCCTCTGGTTGAGGACAGGGTTCTTCTGGCAGTAGCTTCTCCATTTTAGTCCAGTCCCATCTTTGCAATGTGATTAAGGTTGCCTTGTGTTGCCTGCTGTGCTGTTTGTGCTGCTATGTTGAAATTACAAATTCTCTTTGAAACAGATTCAATGTTTTCAGGCAACTTGTGTGAACTAATTGTTTCCATCTTGAATGATGGAAGGAAGGCAATAGCCTCTCTGAGTCCAAAACAGACAAAATGCACACCCCTTCACCCAGGAAGATAAGGTAGATATTAATCCAGATTTATATTTTGTAAATCAAGAGTAAGCAAGATAAAAGGGGAAGAATGGTTTTCCATATTTCATACCAAGATGTGCTGAAGGCATAACTAGACTTTTGTCTAGAAAAGGTGATAGAATGGATTTCTTCTATCTTCTCCCCTGCCCAAAGAAAGAAATTGACCTGTTTTTGTCTGAAGAAAAGAGTTTTTCTTTCTTAAGTATGGTATAAACTGAAATTGTTCTTTTTGATGTCAATAAAAAAATTACCTTTGGTTTATATTTTTCTATTAACAGCTGCACCCCCCCCATTTATTTAAGTATGCCTTAGTGTTTTAAGTGTCAAAACCAGTTCAACAGCCCAAGCAATTAAATGTTTTGTAAAACCTTTTAGAGTTCAATTGATTGCTACCTAAGGCAATTTGATTAGTCCACAGCACTTATAATCATTATTGTAACCATGCTGGAAATGTTTATTTGGTAAGTATGCTGTGGAAGTATGATTCTTCCCACTGGCCACCTACATAGCATTGAATTTTTTTTTTCTTAGATGTTTATTACAAAAATGGCGCTGAAATTAATATTTTAATTTTTTTGGCCACCTCAGAATGAAAGATTTTTCTTATGTGATCAGATGGTATGAAACCTAAACAAGAGAATAAGCCTGGTCATTGTTGTTATTTATCTCTTCCTGTTTCTGTTTTGCTTTGTTTTGGAAGGGCCAACCAGCCAGGAATGTTCACGAAGAGAGAATTTGATCAGTTGGCCTCGGCAGTAGACAGCTTCAGTCTCATGACGTATGACTATTCAGCGCCACATCGGTAAGATTCCATCTGACACCAGAAAGAGCATTGAAGGAGCTAATTCCTACTGAGGTCTGGTAAATCCACAGATTTACCACTTCTAGTAAAGTGGGTAGTGCTTTGTTCTTGTATGATACTAAAGTTCTGGGTTAGTAATTAAAATAGACAATTTGTCCAGAAGCTCAAAACTAAGTACATTTTTAACAGCAATGTGTATCTGGACTTTGGATATTATGAAAGACTTTGTACTTCAGCTAAAAAGGCATTCTTTTAAAAGGATAATTTACTCTTTTCCAGGCTAAATAACTCTCTTTGAGTTATTTAGCACAGTTCTGCAGGATAGGTACATTAATAATCTACTAATAATAACATTGTCAAACAAATTCGTTTAAAACAATTGATACTTCATTTGCCTTTAAATATGAGCACAGTTCCCAGCAACTTTGCTCTGTTGTATTAGCATGTTGAGTTTTAATGGCACAGGTATCATGAAGGCTTTGAGGCAGATGATTAGTAGGGAGTAGCAGATGTTGATATTTGTAAGACTGGGATATCCTCTTCCTGTTACCATGCTAGAGAGTGCCTTTTGTCATGTCAATGTTTGAGCCAGACCCTGCTCTCCTCTCCAGTGAGGTAGGAATGGAATGAGCACAATATCCTAATGTTATGTACATGACAACTCAATTACTCTGTGTATTAAGGCTATGCTCTTTTTTTTCCTGTAGGTTTTTGTTTGGTACTTTGTAGGTTTTTCCCCATAAATAAGTGTTACACAATTTTGCTTAATAGTCACTAATTTTATAGTTCTTTCTGCAAGTAAATGGTCAATTCTGTTCCAGTATGTTTTGCCAGATTGCTGCAAAAACATTGAGGAAAAAAACTGAAGTCATACAGAATTTTGAATTGTGGCATATGCATTGTGCAAGACCCAGTAGCAATGTGCTAGGGGGAAACATTTTCTTACCTCTAGGAAGGAATTGTGTGTCTCTTCACCTTAGAATTGAATCAAAAAGTCAAGAGTGGGGCAATCATGTTTTGTATATCAGGACTTCAAGCTACAGAAGAATGTGCATTTAACATTGATAGAATTATAGGTTCATCTTCACTGATTTTTGCGTGCCAAAATTTTCTTTTTACAATTACACTGGTCAAAAAGAGAAGGCTGAGTGTGAACATGTACTTTTTCTAACAGTCTGTTTGATTTTTTGCTAACTTGACAGACCTGGTCCAAATTCCCCCCTTCCCTGGGTACGAGCTTGTGTTGAAGTACTGGATCCTGATTCAAAATGGAGGAATAAAATACTTTTAGGACTGAATTTCTATGGCATGGACTATTCTGCTTTGGGAACTTCTGGGGAGCCAATCCTTGGCAGCAGGTATGACTTCTCTGGATTGTAAGTGCTTCTGTATGATATATTCTCACAAAAATTAGAAATTCACAAGTAGTCTTATTTAGAAATATGGATGAGTTAGCAAAACAGAAACGGCAAAAGTGATAAATCTGCACATGCAATAGTAGCTCACCAGTTAGAGTAAGACCTGTAACTTTCTTCCCTGTACAGAAATGCAGATAGATGGCACAGTTATCCTGTCAGAACTCATATGCAAAAATGGTTTGTGTAGTTTTCCCTCTTTCCTCTATTCATGCTTATACATGCAGGTTGCCATCTTTGTGTTAAAAATGTTCTGCAGTATTGTCTTATGCTCTGCATCATTTTGGGGGTTCCTGCAGTTGTCCTAATGATTCTCTCTCTCAGCTCCTGAAGTTGTTACTTGTTACTTTGAAATTTGATAATGGTTTCCAACAGCAATCTTTCAGTGCTGATCTCTGAATCAGACTGAATAACAGGAAAGGGGAAAATAAATACCTTTCACCATTGTGTATGGTGAAAGGTATTAAGCAAGTACTCCAGAATGACTTCTGAAAAATTGATGGTGATGGTTAGGCAGGAAGAATACTCAATAATCAAAGCATTGTTGATTTACAGACTTCATTACACAAGCTCATCAAAATTATGTAGCTTCGCTGTAATATTTACAGCTCCTTTTGCAAATGGAGTGTAGCACTATCTAGCAGAATAAAAGGTTCTTGTTTTTTTTCTGAACTTCAGCTTTTGAAATTAAGTTTCCACTTGAAAAACACTGTGCACTAGGATGGCATTTACTTTTTGTAGATTCTTCTGACTATATTAATTCATGTTGCTTTTTAATTATTGGCAAAAAATGCCCTAGCCAAGAGTAATGTATAAAACTTTAGGCTTTATAAGTTTTACTTTTTTTAAAAAGTTTTTTAAGTTTTACTGAAGAGGCTATTTACCTAGTAAGACACTGGTGCATAGTATGGTTCTGTTAACATATTCTTCACTGACAGATCATGAGATTGTAGTTTTCCAGGTATTTACCAGAAGCAAGAGTTTCTGGACAAAGTCTTTAAGAGGCTTTTAGTTTATGCATAAAACACATCAATTTTCCCTTTGCTATGTTACCCATTGGTCAGTGGCTATGTTTATTTTTCCAGAAATATAGGTCTAAGCATCCGCAGTTGTATATGTCATGTAATAATGTAAAGGTAGAATAGGCTCAAAATAAAATAGCTTCAAAATAGGCAAAACTTCTGATATAAAGAGCAGAAAAAAAGGGGGTTTTAGTGTAAAATAAGCTTTCTGCTACTTGGTGTCAGGCCATTTGTAAGGAAGTCTTTTGACCTGTAAAAAGTGCTGAAGGATTGATGCATTTCACCTTTAAGGCACTGTCCATATGATGTAGTGGTAGTGAAACTGAGCTGAAGTACTAAAATTAAAATTAATTCAAAGTCTGTTCATTTAAGTGCAGTCTGGTGTGTGTCAGCTTCTTTGTTGTAGACTTCTGCTAAAGTTTTTGCATATGAAATTTATTACATGTCTCCAGCATGTCAGTGCTCCTTGGCACACAGTAAGGTGCACCATTTCTTGCTGAAACATATTCATTGGAATCTGATCCTCTTTAAGAAGAGAGATGGAGAATTGAAAGATTCAGTGGCAAACTGTGTATTCTAAAGTTGTTTGATGTCAGTGTATTATGCATCTTAATTGATTATTAGCAAAGTGTAAAGAATTGCATGCAGAATGCAGAAATCTATGCTGCTCTCGAGTTCATGTTTTTCTTTAGGATAGGAATTATGTGATGGAAAGAGATGCTGAACATAGGTGGATTTCATTCTTTACATATTTTTTTCAGTCCAGAAATTCATGAAATAACTTACAATAGAACTCCTATTTGCATAGCATATTATTTAGCAGTGGTTTTTTATTGCAGAATGTAATATAAAGGTAGAAGGTAGAAGGTATACTTGCAAAGATGTACAGCCTTTCCGTGTAATATCCTGTTTCCTCCATACAGACAATAAGAAGTAATAGGTATATATGTATATCCTTGCATAAACATATATATCTATATAGATATAGCTCAAGATTAAATTAAATTAAAACAATTTCTCTCTTAGAGCAGCACAATGTAGCTTGTCCTTGGGTGTTGTTGCAGTAAGAACTACAATTTATATTTGTAGCAACAATTTCTTTCTTAAATAAGCTCAGTCACAACTATTACTTATTAATGCAATGAGTCAATCACAGAGATTACAGCACTTTCTGGTGCTTTAATCAACCAAGTACGGTTTGGTTAGCTGCAGGGAAGCTGCATTCCTGAGTATATTTCATTGTGACATAATTTTTATGAAATCCTAAGCTGGAAATTAAGGTGTTCTGTTTGTGATTCTTCAAATCACCTGTAGTGCTTCTGGCGATGTTTTCTGTCCTCTGGCTGTCAAGAATCAGGTGTCTGAATTGTTAAGATGCAGAGATGCAGTCATTCTAACTTTCCACTGTATTAAAATCCTGTCAGAACATAACCATCTGGTGCTGCTTCCCTGTTTTTCTAGTGATCACCTTGTTCCAGCATGTCCTCTGTTGATACTGTGACCTGACAGTATTTCCTCTTCACCTCACAAGTGTATGTCTTGGGTAAATAATATTTGCAGTATACTCTGAAGCTGAAGAAATGGGTTAGTCTTTCTGAGAGATCTTTGAGCCCTATTGAGACCTGCAGTAGGTCAGCAAGCCTCTCAATCTCACGAGCTTCTGACTTCCAATGTACTTTTTCTGCCTTTAGCTATCTGTTCTACAGAATCTCTCTTAATCATTGGGACATTAAATTTCAGTTGCAGTTTTGTTTTGCCTTCTCATGGGAGGTTGCACAGCAGTGTAACAGTGTTTTTTATTCCATGTCATCTAAAATCTATGTCCATTATGACCTGGGCCAAAAGGGAATGGATAAACTTCATTGCTAGCTGTGAATTAAAAGCAATATAAATCAAAGACTGTCAGGTGGCAATGGTGTCACTTGTGTTTAATAAATCAGAATTCTTTATTGAGCCCCTCCCTGCTAAATTTCTTGTGATAATGTCATTTTGTCCTTTTTTTTATAGTGTTGGAAGAGGGAAGATACAATCTCTAATAATTCACCTGGCTCTGTGTAATTTTTGAATATATTTTGCCTTCAAGCTGCTTTTGTTCCAAATGTAGCCATTGAAAATAGATATGTGAATAACTCTGTTATTTTGAAACAATGCTGTGTGTGCTTATCTTTTATTTAAAGTAATCTGAATAAGGACTTTTATGTTAATTTTAAACATTTAAGAAGATTGATATAGTAAATTGCCAGCTGAAGCAAGGGAGAAACTAATTTTACAATACATTGTGATGTTCAGAGATAGAAAATAAGATGACTAGCAAGCTATGTGAGGATAGTAGAGTTCTACTGAGGATTTCATTGGCTGCCTGCCATTCTGTAAATACCACATAAAATGTGGTACTTAGAAACAGTTAGAGGTGAACTTTTTCTCTGAATTATCATGACAGTGTCTTTATAAGCAGCAGTTTAAGGTTTGGGCCAACTGTGACTCATGATTTTGTATTATAGAAGTTAGCAAAAAGCTTGTGCCAGGAACACTTTTACTCTTGAAGCAGCAAAGCTTTTACAACATTTCTCTTCGTGCTGTAATTTTCTCAGGATTTCTATTACCTCCCTGTATGCCAGGATTCTGTATCCTGATTTAATCTATTTTGTTCATAGTTCATGGGATTTTGGGGAGATACTAATGTTTCAAGTAAAGCAATATACCCATTAGTTTTGTAGGACTGAACAGCTTGACCTTTTGTCCACCTCTCCTCTTTACTGAAGAAACTGCTAAGCTATTTCTTCTTAACTTGTACTGCTGGGTCAGATGGTAAAATCATGGCAGTGATAGAACTAAGTTACAATTGGGCCTGGAATCAGAAGTTATTTCTGTATTATAGATGTCTAAATATTTCAGGAGTTTTGAAAAGTTTTATTCTATTAAGTTTCCTCTGGAATATTCTGGTACATGTCTCTTCCATGGTATATCTGTCCCTCCCTCCCTTTAGGAATGGAAGGTGAAATTGAGCTGTTAGCTGAAAGTGTAAGACTAGTTAATTCATGTAAGGTAGATAGAGCATCTTACAAAGTAAAATTATGGATCGTATTTCAGCTTATCCAAATTTACCTTGTGATGATAAATAAAAAAAGATGTTAAAATTGTTCTTATGTATAACACATTCATATTTCTTTTGAAATGAGGGAAAGCTGTCTTTTGTTTATTAGGCAAATTATTGGTTCCCAGGTTCGCTTGTACAATGGCATTGGCTGTGGGTGAGTGTGTATATCCCAGTGAATCTGCTTTAAAAAACTGGACAGTTGTGATATACGTTTTAAATGGTGAGCATATTATTGTGAAATATGCTCTTCTCCATCTGCCATGGTGTTTTTAAATAGCAAATTTGCTACAGGCAATATTTAGGCAGTTAAATATTGACAAAATAATAAGGATGCTGTTCTTTACTATGTTGTTGTACTCCAGCCATTAGAAGATAGCATGATAAAATTAGGAAAAATAATTCTGTGGTTTAAAACTAAGAGCCAGAAACCTTTACTGTAAGCTAAATTTACTTACGTCCTTAGAATTGCGTGTGGGCATTTGTGCCCACTGTAAAGTGAAAGAAGCTTGTTGCTATAGTAGATATTTTTGTCCCCAGTGAGGGGAGTGGAATGATGAGGAGGACTCCATCTTATCAGAAGGCTAATTATTTTATTATACTATATTATTTTTTACTATATTACACTATATTACATCTAAACTGAATCTGCCAAGCACTCAACTCTGCACACACTGCACAGCATCCTGTGACTCAGCCACCAGTCCTGACACACACGCACACTTGGCCCTGATAGGCCAAGGAAGCAAAACCCCCCCACTTTGGGTAAACAATCTTCATATTGTATTCTACTTTTGCACAAACACAGGTACAGTAGATGATAATAA